TAGAGTTTCCATTGTTATTACATTCTGTAAACAGTGACATATTTCTTATTTTGAAAACCTTATTTGAACGAACGGACAGAATAGCAACGTAACAACGTACTCCGGGAGATATTATTTCGTAGTCAAGCAGCTTCAGGCACGGAACACAATTAACTTGTAAGATTGTCTGCGGAGGCTGCATCGCTCCCTCGCCCGCATCCATCTACCCTCCCTACGAAACAAAACATCAATAAACTCCGGAATGCACGCCAAATCCGACCCTATGCCATAACACTTGGGATCACATTTGTATGATAATTTTAAAGTTTTATGTGCCGCATTTATTTCGTGTAGGTATACCAGTCCAGTTACCCTTGATTGGTTGTCGTTCCTCTAATCCCGATTTGATCCTTTCCACCCAAACCTTGCCCTCGTCGACGTTCGGTTAACTATTGATATAGAATCCCATACCTTCGGGTTTGTATTCATTTTAATTAATTACTATGGTTGTATAAATGCGATTTTTACTCTCTCCTTCAGATCTTCTTTTGTTTTCATTTATAGTAATGTATTGTCTTTGTATATGCTTTAGAAGAGTATTTGGTAAGTTGCAAAGTACGTATATTTGGTGTTTATAAGCCTATCTACAAACTTCGGAATAGCAACAACGGTTACTTATTATTTGGTTTGCTAATTTTTTATGCAGATTCCAGATGTGAGGATGAAAGAGTACATTTATAACAATTAATTAAGCATTTTATAATTTAAACAAAGTAATTATAGTTGAATTGTTAGAATTAGAAATTTCATTACAATCAAAAATAGTCACGTAATAGTGATTCTATCAAGATATACAAAGGACATTTTTGATGGCGCAGTCCAGAAAGCGTTTACCCGCCCGGCGTGTTAGTTGAGAGCAAATATAATATAACACGGGGATGATACCGTATCTCATGTACGTAGCACACGAAGACCCAGACCTCAGTGACTAAAGCAATCCTTGATAAAATAAAAAACAACATTAGTGTTTGCTGCCATAAAGATAACGCATGACGCGCATGGCCCATACCTCGCCACCACGCACATGTTAAGAACATGACAAAAAAGCAAATACGTAATTACACGACAAATAAGAATTAAATTGCCACCCTGATAATACCTGTAGGTATAAAACATCAGCATAAGTAATTAGCCGGCCGGCAATAGTCCGCGAAAGCTCCCACCAAAAGAAGCAAAGAATCGGAAAGCGATACTGGCTAATCCCACTAATCGGTGAGCAATTGAAAAATAAAAATGTAGATGGCGGAATGATTCCATTTGGAGCCAAAACGATGCGACAAAATAATAAAAAAGGTACGACCGGAACGGAATGGGCTTGCCCTCGGCGGCCGACGGCTAATATTGAAAGCAAATCCTCGACTAAATCCTTAAAGCGCTTGGATTGAAGCACCTGGAAACTGTGTGTTTGCGCCCGCCGGGTAGCCCGTACCTTGATAATCATTTGTTGGATTATTGTATACTTTACGCGTAAGGTCAACGGAGTTCGCCAATCAATTGGGTACGATTTATTGATGCTTGATTTAGACTGTCACACATGTCATATTTGCCTGTAGCGATAGCCTAGTGGTTTCAGCGTGCGACTCTCATCCCTGATGTTGTAGGTTTGATCCCCGGCTTCACCAATGGCTATCTATGTGCGCATTTAAGGAAGGAAAACAAAGGAAAACATCGTGAAGAAACCGGCTTGCCTTAGACCTAAAAAGTTGACGGCGTGGCACAGTAGGCTGATCACCTACTTGACAAATGATCATGAAACAGATACAGAAATCTGAGATTTACAGCGACACTGATTTTTCTTTTTTTTTATTATTTGCCTGTGTTTTGCATAGAACGGGGTATTAGAAATTAAGAACATTAATAAGCCTTTCAAACAGTTCGTTTTGTCTATTATAAAGTCCATATATAGTCACTACCTTGTTAAAATATCATAATATCCCGTGTTTTGCACCTACAATTCATAAATTTTACAGTTCAACATTAAAAATATTCGATTTTACTTGCATTTCCAGTAATGGCAATATCGTTGACACCGCAATCTATCTCTCGCCAGTCGCGTCGCTATAAAATAGCTTATACAGTTGAATTTATTTCCATTTCAATTTAATGCACATCTCGTGCAGCGCTGCACCGAATTTTATCACAACCATATAAGTTTAACTCGTAAGAATGTAAAAGGTATTACGATTCAATCCAATTATACCAACTTTGTTTATAAATACATTTATTTTTTATAACAGGGGGCAAACGGGCAGAAGGCTTATATGATGATAAGTGACCGCCGATACACATATGGCCAGAAGAATGAAGAACAATTAGTACACTCTTTTTTTAAAGGACCTTAAGTCAAATAGGTTCGGAAATACTTTGCGCCAAATAGTTTTGCCTTGCTGAGCACACCAAGCTGCTTAGAGGCTAATTTAGCCGTCCCATCCAAATGACCGCAGACTGAACGTCATTCGATATGTCAACGCCCAGTATTCCGATGCTGGCTGAGGCTGAAGAAGATAGGAGTGTCGACAAAGGGTGTTTTCTAGTGAAATACTTGTCTTCTTAAGGGTTAAATAGAAACTAGATTTAATTGTATTTTGTGTTAAAAAATGTTTAATGTTAAAAAATGCCTAATTTAATAGGAAAAATAAATGGTACACCGTCGTTTTATTGCACATCAGGCTCGCCTTCCAAGCAAATCATTGGTCGTCAAACTATCTAACCTTTAAAGAAATTTATTATATAAGAGATTATTTTAATTAAATTTGTGTTAATTCAAGCCACAACACGAAGTGAATACTACACTTTTCGTAGCCTAAATAGTTTGTAGCGTGCGCTCGTAGACTGCCTACGAGAAAATGCATAAGTTGCAAGAATATGGACATGTTTACAACTCAATGGTATTGGTAACCCGGATGATTAAGCACTACTACCTATTTCTTTTAACAACTTTTTGTATATAATTTACAGCAAATTCCAGAAATATGCCTCTTAGCTTATTGTTGAACATTATTTCTTTTAAGTTCGTCTCTGCAACTTTTATTCCCATAGCTTGTTTAGTGTTATACCTGCCGTATCCATCCATACATTGGCCAGTCGATCAGGACATGTTACACCGTCTCTTCAGCTGTATTGCTACAATAATATATATATAAGCTATATGCTATATACTAAATATAATAATATAAATAAACGGGCTTTATTATTATTTGTTACTCTGGAATAATTAAATATGTCTTCCCTGACAAATACGACCCCCAATAGTTCAAAGTAAGAGTGTCCCTCAAAGGCCGGCAACACACCCACTAAAAATGGGTGTCCATAGGCTGCGATGACTACCGAAATTATTGGGCGTCCCGAAAGCTTCGTCTACCCCCCTTTTCTATAAAAAAATCTAAAAGGAAAGATTTTTTAAATCCAGAATCTATTCGTTGTAAACATAAGAAATTAAATCTTTGTGATATTTGTATAAATATTATGTTGTTTTGTTTCAAGGTAAACAAATCACTGTTAGCAAGAATTTAGACTATCAATGCACACGATTAAAACAAATAAGAATATAAATCAAATCAAACTATATATAATAACACGTGTTGTTTTAAATAAAATTGCAAATAAAACGATTATAATTTCTCTGTAATTTTTTATTATGACTAGAGGTTTAAGTTACAAAAACAATCAGTGTTTCGTTGAATACATTTACAAAATAATCCGACCGCTATTTCGTTTGATATGTATAAAATGAAAACCTAGACACTCGTTTTATATACAACTATGGTACACGGTTTTCATTATCATTAGGCACACGGATGTGGGTTCTAAAATTTAACTAATTACACTGTACTAATAGTAAACGTTAAACCGTATAAATACATTTATGTACAGTTAAATAAAATTGTAATATATTACTCGTATCAGTAATGAGATCCTGGTTACATTAATCTCATTTAAAGGCGTTTCTTTATAACAATTTTCACAGTACTAGTGGAATAGTAATTACTATTATAGACTTTTAAAATTGTTCGGAATTTTTCGCGCGATATTTTTATATATTTCAAAATTGTTCTCGGCCCACAAGTTAAGTCTTTTGCTACTTAACTAAAACGCAATTTATGTGTAAAAAACCCAGAAAAGTGCCGATACCAATGAGAATTTAAAGACATCTACTCCCTTATTCATAAAAACTAAATCAGTATTATTTAATATTATATTATATAAAATTTTGACAAATCCGTGTTCACACTTTGTTGACATGATCAGACCTTTAGGCAAAGTAATTATTACGTTTGAACTGATTTAGTTTTTATTTTACTTTAATGAATTATTAAAAACAAAGCTTCAATCACTTATAATTCCCTAGTCATTATAGTTCACGTTTTACCAATACTGTACTTTACAATAACCATTACATAAAACAAAGTTAAACAAATGCATGTAGATAAAATACCTACAATTTAGAATAATATTATTTTACAATATACATTTAAATGCTTGATGAATTTATAATTAAACAAACGTAAATAAATAACCTAATTATATAATATTTACAACAATCGATATTAGTCAAAATATAAAATATCGAATATCTACGTAAGCTTATAAAATTGCACACTTCGCTTTGGTATACGTAAGTACATAGCTACATATTTACAAAACATCTATAATCGTTTAATTTATTGCCTGAAGTTTCACAGTTTTTATCGCTCACTATGGGAGTGGTTTCTTCCAATGAATATCTATTGCAATTCAACACTATACTATTGTAACATAGGAACTTGACGTATTTAACGTTTTAATAATTTTTGAAGTAACAATTTGAATTCATCTGATAATCAATCGAACCAATCCCATAAGTGGCAGTAGAGTCCATGCGCGGCGTTTGATTGCGCGCGCGGTGGCGGACACTAGGAGGCGCGCGCGACTGCGAGCAACGGCCCCGGCGAGCGCGAATCCTCGCGGCCGCGGGCCTCCTCTCAAAGCACACGATCCGACACTACACCACCCGCTGCGTATTGACACGCGGACAACGGGGCAGAACCGGCACGGGACACCGGAGACAACGTCCCGTACCCACTGCTAAAACTCGTAGAATGCTGCTTCGCTTTCAAACGCAGAGACGCTATGGACGACGACATCGCGGGACACGGCTCGGCACGGTACATGCTGTACGGATTCGGTGCAGTCGTATAAGGGCAGGGCGCTACGCCGCCCCCCACACTCGCTGGCCCGGCTACAGCCATGGAACCACTTCCAACGCCACCCATAGATGTTGCCGTATTAAAGCAATTCACGGAGCCTTGATGATGACTCGCCGGTACTACTGACCCCAAAGGGTTCACTGGCCACGGAAAACTCTTCGTCCCGAGCGGGCTTGGTACTTTTGCTGCCCAGTTATTGTAGGGGTATGACGAGTATAAAGCTTCCGTATCTGGGAACGGCTGCATTAAACCATTAAATTGCGTACTAAAGCCGTTCTTGAAGTCCGCCGCCGCAGCTGCCGCTGCGTTCATTGCGTTTCTTTCGCGTTTCCTCCATTTCGCTCTCCGGTTTTTAAACCACACCTGCAACAAGACAAATTTCGTTCATATTCCGAAGTGTATTTAAAAGTTTAACTAGATTATTCTGAAGGCGGGGTATGTTGGGTGCCTATTAACTTTACTCATTACAAAGTTGACAGAGCGAAGCGGGGTATTCGAGCCACGTAGTAATAGCGGAGGCGACGGCCCCGCCCGGTCGCAGGCAACGACCCGTCTAATTGCGGCCGCGAAATGAAGATAAACGAGCGTCGCGATTGGACGGAACATCTCCACACCGATGCGAATTCTCCGGCCACAATAAACGATCGGCTCTCAGGACACGCCGCGAAGCCTTTGAATCGATGTTGTTATTTAGGAAAGCCCGTAGGCGGAGTGAGGCCGATAAGTCGCCGTGAGAACAGATAACGTTCTCGCTGATGTATGGGCACGTCCGTCAGTGAGCGATCGATCGTCGACGACACCTCCGCGATAAATTGCGCAATCCACGAAGCGACTGCAATAAATATTGCGCCGGCAGCGGTATTTGTCTCACTCACTGTGGCGTATTCACCCAGCCGAAACGGTAAATAATACCCTCTTTCCTCGGTTAAGTGAACATAAACGGTCGTTTCCACCCCATATACGAGCGTTTATTTTTCGAAACATAAATTTTGCAAATTCACGTGGACTCGTAGGCAGGTAAACGTTAGCTAATTTCATTTAAGGTATGTTATTTTACAAATATCACTAAGAAATACATTCGAAGGTTATAAATTTTCGGTTTACATCCGGTAACCGCGAATAAACGGGTGAAAATAGCTCCACGGAAAGGTTGGGGTGTTCAATAATGACAACAGAATGATATTTATTTAGGTGCACATATGTGGAAATAATTTCCATTATTTGAATAGCGGCCAGCGCAGCGGGGTGTAGGAGGGTCGCGATATTGCGACGCGAGGCTAATCCTTTAAATATATTATTGTAGGACGCTTCCCTACCTCCGTCAAGCGAAGGGAGTTTCGTGATAATTTTTATTCAACCGTAATCAATACTAATGTCTACCTATTTTAATAATCTTACAGCTCTTACGTAAAGGTAAGTCTGTAAAAATCGACCTATACTTTCCTTTGAAATATACATCCATAGGAATTTTTTCGGACATAGCTTACTCGCCATTATAAATCTTCTAGTAAGACAATAACAATTTACATTCGCACATAAGAACAAGAAAACCTTTAAGATTTTTCATACTTATTTACACAGACGTTTAATACTTTGTCAAATCTATGTTTTTAGATATTATTCGAGAGAAAACTATTTTAGGTCGCAAATGTTCTTATGATTTTAGAAAGTTAAGAAAGTACGGCATTAGAATATATTGCTAATAAAACTGGTCCGTCCAGTTTAAAATAGTAATCAAAAAATTCGGAACATTTCAATAAAAATTGGGCATAACAGTTCGTCAATGTCAATTAGTTGCTAACTTTTACAAACTTTATGTTTTAAAGTAATTCAGAGATTATACCTAATTCGTATGAGGGGTTGGGGCTGGTTGTTCTGTTATCATGCGGGACGTGTACGGCAAGATTAATGCGAGCCATCACAGCGGAAACCTTCATCGGCCCTGACAGCGCCTGTGTCTTACAATCTACGCTTTTTTCACGATAAACGATGCTCTACGAGATGAATACCACCGCTTTGTATTTTGTTAGGGCGAAATAGGACAAAAGACGCACAATACGGAATTTGAATTTGGAATGTTTTAGAGTATTGTCTTTTATTGACATAACTATTAGACATAGAAAAACACTTTTTTAACGGATTTGAAGTTATGTTTTATTATAAATTTACAATTATTTGCCATTTCTGCCAAAACCCTACATCTTTTGGAATATCGATTTTTTGGAATGTTTTGTTTAAACTTGCCGCTATTACCCGTCTTATGCATTTCATGATAAATACAACGGTCATACCGTTCTAGGTAATTTTTTTTATATAATAGGGGGGCAAACGAGCTTGCGGGACGACCAAAAAGGGCAGTCTACGTAGCCCATAGACACCCATTTTTAGTGGGTGCGTTGCCGGCCTTTGATGGAGGAGTAGACTCGCTTTTTAAACATTAGGAGGTCGTATCTCTGAGGGAAGACCCCCACCGGGAGTCGATTCCACAGTTCGCTAGTTCGCAAAAGAAAATGCCTTGTGAAACGGACTGTGGAAGACCTCCAACCATCAAGATGATTTTGGTGAAATTTAGAGGTCGTACGGCTCGTACGGTATTGAAAATACGATAGGTGTACGATTAAGTTAAGCTAAGATTTACGCTATTTTAGAGAGACATAATTTTATTAATTTATTAATTGACTTTGTAAGTAAACTCAAATATATATCAACGTTGTTATACCATATTTAAGTATTTTTTAATTATTATAAAAACCGAAAAGAAGTTGTAGCCCTTACGGGATGATTTTAATCTAATAACCCAAATATATTCATGTAATTGTTGACTAATACGGATGTCCCCCAGTAATAATAAACCTATTTTACGGTCAACCAGAGCAGGACTAAATTGCCTTAAATTTAAATTAAACTAGAATCACAGTTTTATTACTACCATCAATCAAATGACGGTCTATCGGAGTCGTCACTCTGAGTTTCGGTTAAGGGATTACAGCCTGTATTACAATAGAGATATAGACTGAATTGGTGTTATTTGACACCCGAAAGTCAAATAAACATTTCGGATCGTATAAATGTATATGAACTAGGATTTGACACGTGCGAAGTGTAGGGTTGTGCCAATATAGTGTTTATTTGAAATACGACTGAGATCTTGTGTAGGCAAAGGAAAATCATTTCATTGAGTAAATTGAAAAGAAAATAGGCTTATCCACATTGTATAATAAATGATTTCTTCTTTTCTCTATACTTTAGATGAACGCGTCTAGAAATAGTTTGAACATCATTGATGTTGAATACTCGAATTGCCTCTTTATGAAATAGGGTAATTGCACCGTTGTAAAGTAGTACTACGGACAAATTACTGGTTATAAAATATAAAGCTAGGACGGAACGCAAGGCAAACCATGGGGAACTTGTCAATTTATATTTACAATAAAATAATTATAATTGTATAGTTATCGTTGGTCTTATATCGTGTATAAGTTATAATATAAGTTTAAGTTTCTTCGACGTCCTGGTGAATAGAAAAACTGTGTCCAGTTTATGTTTCCACAACAATTGTAATATTTTTTCTGATTATGTATACAACAAAGAGCTAGAACAAATTTACATATGGAAACGTACTCCGTTGAATATAATGATGAATATCTTTAACTGTCCATAAGGTCCAAAAGTCTAGTAATTTTATATGGTTTAGGTCCTATGAATATTTGATTGACGTCATTTCATAAAAGATAATTTTTTAACATTATGCTTTTTTAAATGAATTAATTAAGAAATGATAAACTTGCAGTAGAATTTCCTTAATTATAATCTTAAGGACCTATAGTAAAAATCATTTGTAAAAACCATCTTAATGAAGTCTCAATTTATAAAATGTTGAATTAATAAAAGTATTCACAGAATGATAAATATTTGTATTTAGTACTAATTTATTTATTTATTAACACTTTGATGCATTATATATTTCAAGTAACGAGTAAACGTAAAAAGTAATCTCTTCCAGACAACTCTAGTAAGGAAGAAGAAAACAGGAAACTAAGGGTCAGTGCAAAACTAAATTAAAAAGAAGAAGCTTATCTTAAGAGTCGTGAATCACGGTGCTATGTTTCTACAATACAAAAAAAATATATATTTACAATAAAAAAAAATTATAATTACAAAAGTCCCGATTTAACATGGAAAGAGCCTACCGGAGAGACGAATTTAAACAGCTTGAAAAGGCAGATTTTCTACGAAATCTAAGCGACTACGTACAAAATATATTAGAAATCTTATCTAAAGCTGTTCGAGGAATATTTGTTCGCGTTAGACCACTGAGACACCCCTTATATCGAGTAGATTATTATTAAATGCACCCCGTGGAGCTAAGCTGCCCTGAATGGTGGCTAAGAAAAATGTTAGTGGGATCGTATCAGTCACATTTCGTCAAATAGCTAATATAATACCCTCAGTAATAGTTAAATGCTCTGCAATGAAACTCTTCCGAACTTTTGTAATTTTATTTCCATTTTATGTGCATTTAAGTGCAAGTACCTCGGACGCACAATAATTGTGCCAAATATTCGAGAAGAACAGACGGTTAATGAATATTATTTAATCAAAAATATTTTATTTTTTATGTCATAAGAGACAAACGGAGGCTCATCTGATGTTAATTGATATATAGACACTCACATTGCCACAAGGCTTTCATGTGCGTTGCCGGTCTTTTAAGAATTGATGCGCTCTTTTCTTTAAGGATCCTAAGTCGAATTGGTTCGGTAATACTTCAGTGGACAGCTGGTTCCACATAGTGGTGGTGCGCGGCAAAAAGGGGTCAAGTTATATATTTCCACAACAGAAATAAACCGTATTTTCACCATTCTTAACCTACATAGTACTAATAATGAATGGAGAATTAAAACAAATTTAAATAGTTTGGTCCCTGTGGCAGTGTACATTTAAAGCTGGCAGCTTCCTCGCTGTATTGCGATACTTATTCATTGAGTATTATTTAAGTTTAAGCTATGTACTATTTTAGTAAGTTAAGTCAACAACTCAACATATTAGCCATAATTATTGTATAAGTCAACCATTGTAATTCACGTAAAGCTTTTTTTGTAGACTTTGCAGTAAGAAACTTGAAAGAAATTGTAATGACCAAAGTATTTAACGTTGATTGAAAAGTTAAATATCATTGCAGTGATACGGGAGTGTTAGTCACCTAATTCCCCGATATATAGGCAGTCGACTAAGCCAAAATTGACTCACAATCATTCCATGTTTGGAATAAAGAACGTCACAGTAGTGATTTAAATTAATTAGATCAATATTTTTGATTAAAAAATATCTATAAGAAGTCAAATTCGACATGTTAATAATAC